AAGCCAGAAAATAGTAGAACAATGCTTATAAAATCCCCAAGAAGAGAAATTATAACCAAATAATATTTTACTTACTCAAAATGTCATTCAAATATACTGGCAAGAAAAGCACATTTTGAATATCTAATGAGCTCTTCTTATAGAAAATACTGGATGATGAACTTTAGTCAACCAAGAGATAAATGAAAAAACAACAGTCCTAGCATTGAGACTGAATAAAATAGATTGAATCTACTTTACTGCAGGAGAAAGATTAAAGAAAATGCAAAGATTATAGCACAGAGCAGAATGCAAATGTAATCATCCTGACAATATAGAAATGACATTTAACAGATTTTAGAAAAGACTTGGTAGAATAAATAGGTATTAATGTATATTGAATTCACTCATCCTTTATAGAAAGGGGTCAAAAGATATGTATTAAAAGCTGAAAGATCAAGTAAAAATAATGGAGATTTATTTAGTAGTACAAAGATAAATACTAAGAAAAATAGCAACAAAAATGAATGAATGGAGAAGTGAGGGGGAAGAAAAAGGAAATATACTAATTTGTGACTGTTCACCATATGGAGTCAATACATCTGTCTAAACATATAGAGGATTAAAGGTTTTATCCTAGTGATGGTTATAACAATAATCTTTAGATAAAAACAAATATTTTCCAAAGTATTAGAATAAACAGACATTCAGAAAATTATAAAACACATTTCATGGTAGATATTACAAAAAAAAAAAAAGTATAATATGATAGAATTAGACCAAGCTTAGTGAGAGCCAGTGGTATGCTGGTCAATGCTAAACAACAGGACTCAGGGTGTGGGGGAAAAACCAAAACGAAACATTTTGACTTATAGCTTTGCTGGTTTCCATGGTGTACATGCTTCTACCATGGCCAATTTCAAGATATGAATCTGACATTGCCAAATGTGGAGTTGAGAAGAAATGTTCACCTAAAGTTCTTATGAGCCAGTATGAGCTGGCTCCAGCACACAACTGCTGACAGCAATAAACCAAAATTAACTAAGGAGAATGCTAGAAACCAACGCTAACTAAGGACTGTATACAGGAGGCCCTCTTAAAACAATGTGGTTGAAAACTTGGGAAGTAAAATGGTGGGCAAATGTATATGTACTAGGCAAATGGGGGGAAAGTGGGGAGAGATATCACTCTCTTACATCAGGTAAGATGAATTTAAGGAAAATAGCATCAAATGAGATATCTCAAGGAATGCTTTAGAGGGATAAAGCACAAAAATAACAATTAAAAATAACAAGAATCTGTGCACCAAGAAACATAAGATCAATACCCATAAACAAAAATTGCAGGAGATATAAGGAAAAACAGATTTAAAATATTAGTAAAAACAGACTTTATCACTCTTAGTCCAAGAAATTCCAAGTGAACAAAAATAAATAAATAAGCATATGGAAGATTTAAATAGCTTAATAACATGTTGATATATTTTGTAGCAACTTACACATCGTAGGCAGAAAAACTCACCTTCTCCCTAAGAAACCATGGAAGTGAATAGTCATGAAAACTGATCATATATTAGGCTACAAGCAAAAATGAATTTTTTTAGAAAATAGAGAAATAATACTATTTAGACAATATTCTCTAATCATAAATAATAAAAACTAGAAATTTATGATATTTTTAAAACAAAATTATCTTGCCACTTGGAAATTTTAATTTCACAAGTTTTATATAATTATTGGATCCAATGGAAATTCAAAACTGAAATTGCAGAATATATCCAAATAATAATGATCACATTACTTATCAGAACCTGTGACATATAACTAACTGTACTAGAGTTCAAAGGAAATTGTATAGCCTAAATTCTTATATTGATAAACAAAAATAAAATAAAATAATTGAAGTAAGCATCCAACTTTAGAAGTTAGAAAAAAATAATGAAATAAGTAGAAGGAAAATAAAAGAAAGGGATTAATAAAGACAAAGGTGAATATAGCATGAATTCAAAATCAGAAAAAAGTCAGAATATTTGTTAAAAGCCCAAAAGCTGGTTCCTTGGTGGGCAGAATAGGAAATAATAAATTATATCTCTTGTTAATCTAATTTTAAAAAAAGAAAAGTGAAATGGTATAAAATGAAATATATTCAAGGAAATAATTACAGGGATGAACTTGACAGAACTGTAGGACACTACCTCAATAAACTCTGTGTAACTAAATTTTAAAACCTGGATGAAATACATATATTCTAACAAATTGATTTCACTAAAATATATCTTACCAAAATTGGTCTAAATGAATTAGTTTAAATAAGCCTAAGTACTACAGACTTATTTAAAACTTTTCAAAGACTTATCTTCCCACAAATACTATGTCAAGATAGTTTTACATGAGACTATTTCTGAACCCAAAAAAAGCAGGTAATCCCAATGTTATTTGGACTGTTCTAGAGCTATAGATAAATAGCTAGTTTCCATTTTGGAACTACTTCCTTGAGGAAAAGACTCAATAGAGAAAAAAACAAAACTTGTAGAACAATCTCATTTAGGAACATAGATAGAATATTCTAAAGAAAATATTAACAAACAAAGCAGTATATTAAAAAGCTGATACATTATGACCAAACATGGTTTATTCTGAGAATAAAAGACTGGTTCTGTGTCAGAAAATCTGTTAGTATTAATATAAATTATCACATTAGATAAATATTATTTTATTAATAATTATTATTTCCTTAGACATTGAGAAACCATTAGACAAAATTCAATACCTGTTCTGGATAAAAACTTTTGAACTGTAAAGAGTACCCATATCGTTAGTTTGATAAAATATATTTGTTTCAATCCCCAAATCAGCATTTTTGCTCAATGAGGATAGATTAGACACAGCCTCATAAAAGTCAAGAATAAGACACAAATATATATGGCACAATCCACTGATATAGGCCATAACCTACATGAATCTCCAGAGAATTATTCTGAGTAAAAAATGCCAGTCCCAGAAGGTTACATGCTATATGTTTCCTTTATATTACAATATTGAAATGACAAGATTATAGAAATGGAGAACACATTAGTGCTTATCATGGGGTAAGGAGAGGTAGAAAGAAGTGGAAAGTGAGGGTGACTATTAAAGAACAGCATGAGGGATTCTTATGGGGATGGAAATTTTCTGTATCTTGACTGTATCAATGTTATCCTGGTTGTGATATTGTTGTAGAGTTTTGCAATATGTTACCTTTGGGAGAAACTGGGTAAAGGGCACAGAGGATCTCTCTACTATTTCTTACAACTGCCTGTAAATCTATAATTGTCTCAAAATAAAAAGCTTAATTTAAAAAAAAAGCTGATTGGCAGGGGCTTTTGCCTCAAAATTACCAACAATGGATACAATGAGGTTTTAACATTTGACACACATTATTTCGTGAAAACTATCTTAAAAATCATATTGCAATGTCATTATCTGAGCATCAACTGCAGTTGGGTAGTAACGTGTAGCATCAGGCTTTTGGCAACTGGTTACATTATTCATCAACAACACTAAGTCACTGAGACTTAAAAACATCAGAACAATGAATTTAATCAATGAACAATGTTATCAAATCCATTAATAAAACTAAGAAGAATTCCCTCGAATGATATTTTAAAATTTCACAATAACAACAATTAAGAGTCTGAATGTCCTGAACATGGAAATCTGATAGGTCTTTGAAGAAAAAGTATCGTGAAAATATTTTGTTCACTACTGCAAATGACTGTGGAAGGTTTTTTTCAATCAATGAAAAAGTAAAAAAATAGAAATGTGAAATTAACATGTCTTTCAGATACATTTGAAAAGTTAAAGTCCTCCTTAAGCTGCAAGAAAATAAGATTAATCTCCTTAAAATGAACAAATTGTGTGATTTATTAACAAATTTATATTATGTCAACCTCTTATCAAAATCGTGCAAAATTTTTATCTACAGCTAAATAAGGATAGACTTAAAGACAAATTTAGAAATACACTGATTTTATTTGACTGCAGTTTTAAAAGTTTTGATGATTAAATTTAAAATCTATGTGATTAATCCATTTGCGATTATGTAGAAGAACAGAAGTCAGTATTTACAGGATGATGTGAGTAGGATAGACTCCTGTTCTACCATTGCATGATTTAATTGGTGTAATTAGGAAAGCTTTTATATATAATTTGAACTTTCACATCCACCTATTTGGAAAGAAGATATCCTTCCTATAATAGCATTTACAACTGTATATTTGAAACACTTTCAATGTGCTATGGCAGTTACTGCAAAGGCAACAAAAGAAAAGCAGCTAATATGTAACGGAGGAGACCTGAGGTTTCTCCATCTAGATTTAGAACTAAAACCATCAAATTAATATAGATACTTGCATTAGCAGGAATCTTATTTTGTTATTTTCAAACAAAGTGAATTTTAAAAAAATTAATTGCATCAAAAATCTGAGTTGTGGGAATGGCATATTGACTCCAGGCAGGTAATTGTGAGCGAGGAAGACGCGGGCTGAGCGGTCATCCGGGTCGCGGAGGGCCGGCGGGGCTGGATGGGCGAGAGGGCGCCCCCTTGAGGCCTTGGGGGTTCCCCGCTGGTCGACGCGCGGGAACCCGCGGTGGCGCGCGCATCTTTTGCTCGTTTATTCAGCAGATGAGTAAGGATTAAATCACGCTCCGTGCCAAGCGCCGCTGCCAGCGGTGGAGAACGCACTATGGCAAGATGGAGCACTAGGGGAGAGTTGGGAACCCCAAAGACGACTTGGTCGCGTCGCACGCTGGAGCCCCACCGGCCGCACGCGGCTCCTCAAGGGGCGCGGCCGGGGACGCGGCAGGGGCGGGGCCTGTCTCCAGGGAAACCACCGCCATCCGCGCGCGCTTCCACGCCCGGTGGTCTGTTGAGCGGCCGCAACCCGGGCGGGCCGCGCTCCCGAGCGCAGCAGAGGACGACGGTGGCGAGACGGGGACCCCCCCCTCGGCGAGACGGGGACCATCGAGCTGATTCCGGTGGGTGCGCCCGGACCGCGGGCAGCCGAACCCGCCCCTGTCCGCCCGCGCCCTAGTCTCCTACTGGTGGAGGTGTGCGGCCCCCTAGCGGGGGAGAAGGGGCAGTGCGGACGCGGGAGAGAGCTGCTGCTGGGCGCGGGTATAAGAAAGGTCCCTCCTCACCCTCAGCCTGGGCCTGGTCCCCAGAGCCAGCGGTGACTTGGCTTGAGCGTCAGAGGCTGGAAACGCGGCCACAGCTCCAGCACACTACCACAGTAGTAGCTTCTGGAGGCCACTCATAGTCACCACCTGTCGTAAAGGGGGAACTCGACGATGAAGGAGCCTTGAAGGAATTCGCGTCCAGGCCTGCAAGTCTCCTTTTCAGGTGTGAATCTGTTGCCCACCTAGGGTCCACAGAATTACCCGTGATATGAGTGACACTGACTACAGTGGTTTAATCAGCAAACCAGGTGTCTTACCTACCTATTTCATCTGCTCACTACCTCTTTCCAAGGGGTTCTCACAGTTTCTAAAACGTTCTCTTCCCAACTGGTTCTTGGCAGGGAGAAGCCAATAAAATCTTATATTTTGCAATACATTTTAGCCTTCTGAAGCCCAAACTTACCTTAAAAATTCTTAGTCAATAGTATTTAATTGTATAGGGAGGGGGATAATTAGGAAAGGACCTCTTAAAACGCTCCTTAAAGATGATAATAAAAAAACAAGTTGAAAAACAAACAACAAAAAAAAACGTTCTCTTCCTCAGTGAATTCCAATAAATACGATTTTGGAGTCTCCTTTAAGGTCCCAGTTCTTCAAAGGTATCCCAGGGAATGTCCGCACTTCCTTGCCTTTTACACATCTGGGTTGCTCCAGAGACATGTCTCCCACCAGGGCCAGCTTCATGGGTGTGTCACAATCTTGGAAGTTCTTAATGTTTGAACAAGGGGCCCCACATTTTCATTTTGCCCTGGGCCTGGCCCCAACTCTCGACTTTTCTGAAAGGCTTTCTTTGCTTATCTTTGATTATATAAAAATATAGTTAAAAAGGATTCTTCCCTAGGCCTGTCAGTAGTTGCTAAGGCACCAAGAGACAGAGGAGGGATGATTCTATGAACTAGCTGAGAGTTGCTGGGATCATAAGACCTTTATGATCCAAAAGCCATTCTCCACCCCTTCTCCTTGTATTTAGAGCCCTTGAAGAATGTGAAGAATGGGAAAATACCACACCTTTGAGGACAGCAGTGTTTGGCTCCTTGCCTAAGGACAGAGGCAGGTGAGGAATCAGCTGATCATGTATGAATGGAGTATTCTGGGGCCGGGCTTTGACAGGTGCTCTGCAAAGGTGGCTGTGGTGAGTGGGGAGGGAGCTGCATTGCTGTGATGTGGGGGAGGTAAAAGCCTTTGCTTAAAGAAGGAACCTGAGAGGACCTAAAGCTGGGCTGCCGGATACCAAAACCATGAACCACACATGGCTATTAGGCACTTAAAGGGTGGCTAGTCTGAAATAAGATGTGCTGCAAATGTAAAGTGCACACCGGATTTTAAAGTCCCACTTTTAATTTAAAATATTGTATTAATTTTTATATGAATTACATGTTAAATGATATTTTGGATATAGCAGGTTTAAAAATATGTTCAAATGAATTTTACCTGTTCCTTTTTGCTTTTTAAAGTAAAAACTGCTAGAAACTTTTAAATTATATATGTGTCTCATATTTCTTTTGGAAAACATTATTATAAAAGTTTTGGAGTGTTGGAAATGACTTACTTAAAATGTTAAGAAAATAAAATGTTAAGAAAAACTTACTGAAGTTTTTAGTATGTTAAGAAAAACTGTTAAGAATAAAATAAACTGAATAGAATAAAATAAAATGTTAAGAAAAACTTACTTAAAATGTTAAGAAAAACTGACTTTTCCCAAAAAAAAATTCACATTGTCCCTTATCTCCCAGAAAATACCACTATCTACCCTTATCGTATATACCCATATCAAACAACCTTACTAACCCAGCCTACCTCAAATTAAAGACCTCGGCAGTTAAAGAACCACAGCCTAACCTCAGGTGCGCTGGGACTGCAGTGTAGTCACTTTTACAGGAGAGAAAGGCTCAAACTTCTGTCATCTGTTGTTTTAGAACCAATTCAGTTGCTAGCAGAGCTATTTCTGTTGCTTTGGCTATTTGTCCAGTTTTGCAAAGGTGAACTGTAAAAAAACTGCAGAGAAGGGAAGAAAGACATAATCAAAGAGGGTGGCCACCTAACCAACTTTCATTCCAAGTTACTATATTGTTGCAAATTTTGGTATTACAGCATCCTTGGCCCACCTTTCGTTTTGACTGACAAAAAGAAAAAATTTTAGTGAAGAAAAATTTAGCTTTTCTTCACCAAAGCTAATTCCTTGGCTTTTAAAAAGGAATTAGCTTTAGTGAAGGAATTACCCCATGCTATAATCTGAAGTATACATAGGGACAGAAAATTATCAGTAAATTTAAGCTCTCACTTGAGCAGTCTCCTTTAGCTATTGGTTATAGAATGGGTAGACTCCAATACCTTTTGCAAGCTATACATCTGATAAAGGGCTGATAACTAGAATCTATTTAGAACTCAGGAAAATCAGCAAGGAAAAATCAAACAACCCCATCAAAAAGTGGGCAAAGGACATGAACAGTATTTTGAATGGCTCTTAAAAGCACTGTGATGAGGGAAAATATTAGCTCTTAGTCAATGTGAATTGGATGCTTGTCCTAATCCAATCCTCCTAAAACCTCTAGTTCCCTGGAAAGTATCCCCAAAAGTGTGTATTTAAGAAAGCTGAGATCCAGGCTTGTTAGGATGTGAAGTTCTCAATACAAAACCTATTTTTAGTGGATTGGCTTGAAAACCTACTGTGAAAGGAATCTGTCCCAGAACCTATGGTAACAACTGGAGCATTTGCTGTCATTCTCCCAACCTTTAGGGTGGCTTCCCTGGCATAGTCGCAGTTTGCTTTGATATTTTCCACATTTTTTGAGTGATTCAATTTTAGTTTATGTCTTCTTCTGGAAATATCTGGCTTTGTTTGTGAGCTTCCTCACCCAAGAGCTTGCTTTGCCTGTTCACTGCTTGCCCACTCCATCATGAGGCTCAAGCTGTGCTCCCACACTGCTTTGCTTCATGAACCACACGATTTGACCAAAGCCCAGAGCCTGGATCTCAGTCCCCTTAGACACCTGCAGGGCACCGAGATGAGGCTCTGTCCCATCACTGTGAGAGGAATTACCAACACGTGGACATTTAACTTCTTAAGAAATTAAGAGAGCTTTAAGCAGAAAAGCCTTGGCAAGATGAATTGGTACAGAATCTCTACCACCAGCTCAAACTACTGCCTTTCTAAGGCTTCCCTTTCTCCTATCTTGCAAAGGCCAAACTTGTGTACAACAGCACCTACCAACCATGATCAGATCAGCACTCTGAGATAGTACTGAGGTGTATACATCACAGAATGTGAACTATTTGGGAGTCCCTGGAAGCATAGCAGGGGTGGGAACTGGTGCCTTGAAAGAAATAACCTGGATTTCTGAACTCCTTGCAATTTCCAGGAAGTAGAAACTCAAGCATTCCTCCTGGCAACAAGGCGTATAGATGTTCACCAACAAAGGCTAGCTTGGGCTTGTCCTCATCTGTGGCTCTTGGCAGTAAAAGTAAAGGCATCTGGGCCTGCAGTTTTCTTGTTAGAAGGTTTTTAACTACAAATTCAATATCTTTAATAGAAAATAGACCTATTTAGGGTGTGTACTTAAGTGAGCTTTGGCAGCTTCTGTTTCGCAAGAAATTTTTCCATTTCGTCTAAGTTGTCAATTTTATGGGCATATAGTTGTTTGTGATATTGTCCTATCCTTTTCAATGTCCTGAGATTTGTAATATTTCCTTTTTCATTCCAGATATTGGTAATTTGTGTCTTTTCACAAATCAGTCATGCTAGCGCAGTCTTGGCACTATTGACATTTTTGGCTGGATAATTCTTTGTTGTATGGGACTTGCCTGTGTCTTGTAGGTATTTAGCATATCCCTGGCCTCTCTACCCACTGGATTCCAGTAGCACTGCACCCTGATCCCTACCCCCACACCCACTGTAACAACCAAAAATGTCTACAGATGTTGCCAAATGTCTCCTGAGAGGCCAAGTTGCCCCTGGTTGTAAACCACTGCTTTAGACTACTTTATCTCTGTTACCATGTTTACAATTCGAGCATTTTCATCTGATGTACAGTTTTTATCTCTGCTGAAATTCCTCATCTATTCAGTCATGTTTAGTCTACATTTTCCACTAACCTTTAACATATATAATTAATATATTAAACAAAGTTATTTTAAACTCCTCTTCTCATAATTGTAACCTTTAGGTTATCTCTGAGTCTGGTTCTATTGATTACTTCCCCCTCTTGACAGTGAGTTTTTTCTTTCTTCTTTATGTGTCTCATAATCTTTCATAAAATTCCAGGGATCTTGCTGAGAACAGTTGAAATTAAGGTAATCTATGCCCCAAAGCATGCTTCTTCTGCTAGGCCAGTAATGTGAGGTGTTGAATCAGTCTACTCAATAGTTAAGCTGGCTTTGGGCTTTATTGTTCCACCTTCAGTACACCACCAGTTTCAGTTTCCTCTCATATTGCCTTATGCTTAGGGCGGAGTGCTGAAGGCATTTTCTAAATGTCCCTGTTTCACTCTCAGCTTCTAGCCTTCCTGGTGAACCTGTACCACAAAGGGGTCTCTCTCCATGTGTTTGCCTTTCCCCCTGCTCATTGCCCAGTGCTTGCTACCTTGGTAGTGGGGACCTGAGGACTCTTGATCCTCCTGGTCCAACATCAGCCTCAGGCAAGGAAGCATATGGGAAGAACATTTGCTTTTTCCATGGTGGGAACTTACTTCCCATAGACCACCACCACCAAGGGAGGCTCTCTCTAGTCTTCTGCCTTGTCTCAGATCTTTCTCATCATCACCCAGTAGAGATCATGGAGAAGACACTGACAATGGAAGCAAACTCCCTTTGTGTCTAAGCTTCTCAGGGGGTTTATACTCTCATGCTAGTTCATACTTGACCTTCATTAACAATTTTAGCTGAATTCTTATCAGCTTATGTGGTCCTTGATGTCTCTTCTTCAGGATTCACATCGTGTTGCTCCTTGGTGGGGTCAGTCTTTCCTTGTATTTCAGGCCACTTGATTGGTCTATGACCCTAGCTTGGGGGACTGACTGTTCCCAGTTTGCCTGGGACTGAGGAGTTTCACAGTTTGTGGGACTTTCAGTTCTAAAACTGAGAAAGTCCAGTTGGTCACCCTAACCTCAGCTCACTGATAGGTTCAAGACAAACATCTTGTGGTTTTTATGGTTGTTAGGGTAGAAGTGATGCTCTTTCTAGGTTTCTACATCCTAGGAAGAAGCCAAATTACTGAAATATTTGTGAATGTTGAATATGGGCAAAAGTGGTTCTTGAGATAGTGAGAAACCATATGGGGAAACATCTGTTTCTTACTAAAGCAGGAAAGTACTTGTGAAATCTTCCCTAAAATAGAGAATAAAAAGGATGAGTTCAGTCTCTGCCATGCTGTTGTCTGTCAGTAGCAGATTTATTCAATTATTTAAACAAACTCTAGCTGAAGAGGTGGATCCATATTTCTTCCTTCTACAACCATAGTCAGTGTCCAACTAGTACCAGGCTTGTATTATACTCCCAGCAGGTGAGCATCTCCTATAGATTTTTCAGCCAGACTTTAAAAAAAAATTGTATTCTCTCCATAGGAGAGAGTACATAGGAGGATACTACTCTCTCCTATGGAGAAGGAGGAAAGCTGAGTGTGGCAATAAGCTTTCAACATGAATGTCTACCACTTCTGGGTGAATAAGTATGTGTGTGCACACATGCATGTATTAATCTTGCCTATCAGACTTTTCGCTGGGAGCATATTTGATATATGCTGCCATGATGGTACACTTGATATTGTGGTTTTTTAATATCAGCTATTTTGGGAACCAGGAGTGTCTGTGAACCCTACAGCCACCACTAATGGCAAGAGGTAGGCAGCCTCAAGGCAGTGCTGTGTATTTGGTGTGATAACGAAGGCTGTATCATTCGCTCAGTTACTTCTTTGAGTATCCTAGAAAAAAATGTAGCCTCTTGAGAGCATATAGGCTGTGTATGTGATATGTTTTGATTAAATGGTTAAGATAGTTTGACTAGTATGGTATAAACAACACAGAAATCATAGCTTGTTTATAATTTACAGCTTATATTATTTTAACATGCCGAAGACTTGTATGCTGTTTATTATGTGCCCAACATTATCCTTAAAGTTTTATGTTTATTAACACATTGAATCCTCACACCATAAACTTCATAATGACCTTATGATGTTAAGTGTATTATCCACATATTACAGAGTAGAAAAACGAGGAGCAAAGAGGTTAAGTAATGTGTCTAAGGTCACACTAAAGCAAGTGGCAGCAGTGGGACTTGAGCCTATGCAGTCTCTTTCCAGAGTTCTTTTAATCACTATGACAGTAGCCAAAGGCACAGAAAAGGTAAAGATTTCAATATACAGGATGTATAGAGAGAGTGAGAATTATATATATTTAAAAAAGCCTTTTAAATATCATTTTGATTTCAGGTCTTGTACCAAACAAGGATGTACAGACAACTAAAAAGTATGCTAAGAAAGAGGATTCAGAAAATGGTAGTGATGCCTTGGCTCACTACAAGTCAACAGAGAGCATGAATTCTATAGACAGGTGGAATCATTTGATGGGAACGTCATGTGGAGCTGCTAAAAAATACTTGTAGGAAGAACTCTACTGATGTATATAAAACACTCAAGTACTTTCCAATTCAAAATTGAAGATTACTCGGAAACCTCTTGCCATACAGGAGGAATTAAGGCTGAAAATTTCTATCAGTCCTATTCATGATCAAGTGATTGAGAATAAAACCAATGGATGGCATGTGTAAAGAACTTTGGTTTGAAGGTGACAACATGTGAAGCAAAGTAGATTCATGAATGACTAGAATGTCCCCCCAAACTCCAAACCAGTTTCTATAATCCAGAGGACACATAGGAGAGACAAGACAAGTATATTCACAACTTTTGTGATGCTTGTTGTTGGCAGGGACTATGTTGAAAGAGAAGGATGCTTTGAATGCTCTGTGATTGGTTTTCAAGCCACTGATAATCATAACAAACTATATTATAATGTGTATGAGATGAAGTCTTTCAGCTTAACCCAAGGGCAGTCACCAGCATCCTCTCTATACTTACTGGGTGATCTAGATGACTTTATATATTTCTTATATAAACTGATCAATTCAATATAATTTTTTTTTGACAAGTTCTTGCTCTGTCACCCAGGCTAGAGTGCAGTGGCATGATCTTACCTCACTGCAACCTTAAACTCCTGATATTAAATGATTTTTCCACCTCAGCCTCCCAAGTAGCTGTGACTACATGCATGCACCACCATGCCTGGCTAATTTTTCTATTTTTTGTAGAGACAGAGTCTCACTCTTGCTCAGACTAGTCTTGAACTCCTGGCCTCAAGTGATCGTCCTGTCTCAGCCTCCCAAACTGTTAGGATTACAGGCATGAGCCACCGTGCCCAGCCCCAATATAATGTTTTTCAACCTTTTTTCCTTGCCTCCCTTCCCATAAAAAGATTTCCTATATTTTCTCTTAAAGTTTTCACAAATGTAAGGCCAATTGGTGACTATTGCTATCACCCATAGATAAAGTTTCTTTAAAAACAGAAGCATCTTCCCTATAAAGATATACAACTATTATGTACCCAAAATAATTAAAAATTTATAAAAAGGAAGGATCTTATTGTTACTACTAAGCACTAGATATTTTATTTTCAGATTTTATTTGGACAGAAGCAAGCTTCTTTGGAGTAGGAAGTTCAGACTTGTGAAGAGTAGAATTTCTTTCCCCTTTCTTTCAACTTGTGAAAAAAATTAAAACAGTAATTTTTACATCAGATACTTTTTCTTGTCAAAAGTTTCAGTTGCATTTTAGTTTCATAGATATTTTAAAATTGGGAATGAATGCTGTAGATAGTGTATCTCTGAGTTTTAAAGACTTTAAATAGGGTTTTCAGAAACTTAGACCAATTTTTTGTGTTTAAAATTTTAAAGCTATATAATTTTGTGAACTAATTACATTAAAAACTAAAATTAAAAGAGTTATGTCCTGGAACTTCAGAAATTTTTACATTTCATACTTTAGGCATTGATTACAGATGAGGGTAGTGGAACCATGACAGGTAGGATTGGTGTAGTGTCATTTGACTTATGTGATTGAATGGGAAAGGAACAACCAGTTATCTCATTATGCATTGAAATATAAATGTGTAATTTAACAGTTACACCTGTGTAACTATCACTCAAATTGAGAAATAGAAAATTGCAGGCATTGCAGGAAATACCTGCATATTGCTCCCAAATAACAGCCCTTTTTGTCCCTACAGGTGACCTTACCTGTCCTTACCTGTCTAGTAATTTCTTTTTTTCATGCCAGAGGTTCTCAGAGTGTGGTCTGGCATCAGCATCATCTGGGAATTTGTTAGAAATGCAAATTCTTGGGCCTGTTCCCAAACCTACTGTATTTATATATATTTTTTGCAAGATGCATACTTATGTGATTAAAATATAAAGCAGTGATTCTCAAACTTTAGCATGTATCTGGAATGGCCTGAATGGACTATTAAAATACAGATGCTAGGTCCTACCTAGAGTTTCTAATAATCTCTTTCTGTTAATGTTTTAATCATTGATTCTGATTTTCTTACATGCTGGGTGTGTTTGACCCTATGCTAGTCATTGCGCTTGAAATGCCATTTTATAGGAATAATTGTCAGGCCTATAATGAAGATACTTGGCTCCAAAGAGTATTTGTATTTGCTTCTGCCAGGCACCTTGCAGACACCACAAGTTTGGGCCCACCTGTTCAAAGTTTGATGTTTCCTGGACAACTCAGGGTAGTCTTACTATGTTTGGATTCTCTTAAGATTATTCTAGTCATTGATAACCTTTACTCTGAGATCTTGGATCCTAGATGTAGGGGAAGGTCTCTTGTCAGACTCCCCAACTTATATGGACCCAGACTTATGTTTTCTGTCTCTTTTATACCCTGAAAGGCTATCAAAATGGAGGCTCTAATTTTCTGGGGTTAGCTAGTGATTTCGGGGAAAAAAGTGGTTTTCAGGCTTGTTTACGTCTTCACTCCTTTTTACTTTTGGCCTGATAATTTCTTACTGTTTTGTAATCTCTTTGATGATTTTAAAAAGATTACTTTAAATATATTTTTTCCAGTTTTTTAGTCATTTTCAGCTGGAGGACCGATCCAAATAATCTGAACCATCATTACTAGAAACAGAAAATATGAAAAATAAATAAATTATGCACAGTAGTTTTTCAAAATACTGTGGATTTTCAAAACATTAAAAAATGATGGATGTTTACATCCTTGGGGGAAAAAGTTATCTTTTTAGTCTACAACTTTAATGAGACATGGAACACACAAAATGGTTTGGGTACAAAAACGCTTCCACATTAATGACCTTTAACCACTCCAAAGTGCTCTCATATTTACCCAGTGAGTCCAAGGAATGCTTCCCACAACTTCAGAAAGCCTCACGAAATGCAGAGATGTGCATAGTACCGGAGCCACTTCACAATTTGTGGCACTTTGTATGAGGTTTAATCTTTCCGTAGTTCTAACCATGCTGGAAAAAACCAGTGTAGGAATCTACAGTGGCATGCACTCTTACCCCTAAGATGGTTTCTGTCTGAGATAGCACATGGGGTATTTCAGACATTGCTTACTGTTAACTTCTAAGCATTCAATGGGAAATATTTTAAATACCTTCCTTTCCACCAACATTATATATCCCATCATCTTTTTCTCCTGTTTGACTCCTGGGTCAGATCAATCACTTGAGGTAGACAAGATTCTTAAAGAGATGATACTCCTTTCCAACCTGTTTCTGACAAGACAGAACACATTCTTTCTGACCAAAAGGATAAGTCTGTAATATTTATCTTTAAGATATCTTTTGGAGGTTATTGGAGATGGAAACATCTGAATGCTACATGTGTCTCTTTGGAGGGTAACCCTTTGCAGAGGTCGGATGTAAAATAGCACAACTTGAATAGTTGGTGCTTAACAATTAGGATTTGTAACAATCCCTGCAGGTTAGGGTTGGGAGGGGAGAGAGCAGAACCCGATATAGTTATCTCCAGAGTCCTTTGAGGATGTTTGACAGCAACTTGATAAATGTCAGGATCCCCTAAAGGTGGTAGGGTTGGTTGTGGTGGAACCCCGTAAGCTTGTGGGTCACTGTAAGTGTCAAAATGTAATTGTGATTATAGCAACAAGCATTATCTTATCTCAGATAAAGACTGTAACCACTAGTTAGGGCAGAGAATGCCTTAAGATGGCATAGCAGGTGCGCTGAATCTATGGATTTATGGAACCAGTGTAGGATGAACATCCCACCAGATTAGAGGGTTACTGAGACTCTTCAGTGTTTTTTTTCTTTATCAATTCAAAGGTGATGTTATTGATATCTAGGCCAGTAAACCTAGTAAGAAGGTAGTTAAGGTAGGTTTACTGGCTTAGATATCAATAACATCACCTTTGATGTTACAAGCACTTGTGCCTATTCCCTTCAACTCACTGAATCATATATAGATATAGTTGGGGATTATGCTTAGAACAGCAGAGACCAGAAAATGCCTCAGGGTTTGGAGAATAGGTCATCTTTCTGGCATCTCCTGTTAATGGCCAGATACAGTTAACCCTGCTGCCAGCTGACAGAGATTTGTTATGTCTCATGAGCCCCTGTCGGCGTATGTACTTTCTTTTACCTGCAGTAGTAGTACCTTCATGATCACTTATAAAGTTAGCCTTTGCATAGGCTATCCAGGTTCTGGATTGGCCCAGTTTTTTACTTGGTACCATGACTTCCCATCCCACAACTGTCTGGAATGAAGTATGTATCCCCAGTACTTGGGATCTGTATTATACTGCATCTACAGCCTCTGGACTAATTAGATAACGTATTAGCCAAACACACACAATTCAGTATCTTATTGAGAAAGTCAATTCCTATAGGTTCTCTGAATCACTTGAGATGTCTAGGCCATAAGTGTACTCAGTCCTGCAAAGCAGACCTGCCTTTATAACCATTACTTTTGTACTAGAAGGAGGACTACTAATTTACTGGCTGTAAGCTTGCTTCAGTTAGTATTATAGTCAGTTCTTGCTTTCAGGATTTATCTTCACTGTCTTCAATGTGGATAGTAGATTTCTCTTGAGTTTCTTTCCAAAAGTTTTCAGACAAAGCTAGCTCCAACTAAGAGCAATATGTCATTGGCATTGAACTTCCTGGCAGTTCCCGATCAGAGCTCCTAGCCCAAAGTGTCTCCAGAGGTAAGTGCCCTACTCACCTTCTTCACTGGAAACTAATACCTATTAACACAAAAGTACAACAAACTTCTTTGTCCTACTGCACTTCTTTGTCTTACTAAAATAAATTTTTCTTTGAAAAGACTTTCAAGTGAGATTGACTTCAAGAACCCTAGCCAGTATAACCAGGGCTCTCAAAGGAGAGCATGTTGTGCTCATTGGGTTTGTTGTCAACCCAGTCCAGTTCTTCCCATGCATTCTTTAAAGCTTGTTTCTGAAGTGGTTGGGATCAAATAGCCACTGGTAGAAATTGTTATAGAAGGAGGAATT